GTGGCTCTCTAGCCGAAGTTCTGGGTGATGTAAATCCAGCTACTTCTGATGAGGCAGTTTAAGGAAGTGTAAGAGGATGAGCTCTAGCGTCAAATTCCTTCTCTGCCATTCCAGCTGTGTGACCCAGGACCCGCCTTCACCTTCTGTGCGACGCTGAGTTGCAAAAGGGCAGCAATAATTGTCCCTGCTCTAGAGTCCCTGTGAGATCTAAATGAGATTATGCCTGCAAAGCACCAAGCCTAGCGTTTAATGAGCATCAGCACTCAATGGGAAGTGTGGCTTATGCCCGCTGGATCTCACTGGGCATCATCATCATTTGATTTGTGTGTGTTATCTGGGGGCCTCCGTGACTGTCGAAGGCTCATGAGAAAAAAAAGCCAAGGTGGATTGAATAGAGAAGTGATGTGTTAGAGCTGAGTGAAGGCCAAGTGACATCACATCCTGCTGAATAAATGAAGTTGTCACAGTAGTTTAAATAAAGAAAAGCAGTGTGATAATTGAGTCATCACGCCAGGCAGTCTGAATTCAAAGGAATGTGCCCGGGAGCAGTTGGTGCTATGCTCGCACAGCGAGCTGCAATTTATTTTTCAGCAAAAGCTCATTTGTCCCATTAAATCAGTGTTGTTAATATGCCTTTTTTTTTTTTTTTTTTTTACTGGTTTTGTCATTTTGTTTGCATTTAATTTATAAATTTATTTGGCTTTTACATAAAGGATTTAAGCATGCGTTTATAGCTATCATAGTTTGAACATATTTAGGTGATTTTTAAAAAATAAAAACAATTGGCTGAAACCGATTTGGCTCAATGGATAGAGCTTCGGCTTGGGGACTGAAGGGTCCCAGGTTTGATTCTAGTCAAGGGCATGTACCTTGGTTGCAGGCATAACTCCAGTAGGGGGTGTGGAAGAGGCAGCTGATCGATGACTCTCTCTCATCGATGTTTCTAACTCTCTATCCCTCTCTCTTCCTCTCTGTACAAAATCAATAAAATATATTTAAAAAAAAAACAATTGAAGTCAACACCATGTCTTAAAAGGAGTCTCTACAATTTCCACGTTTGAGGCACACTGCCCTGGGTCTTTTCCATTGGGATTCAGATGGAGAGAAAGCAAATGTATTTCCTCTTGGCTCAGAACCCTAACTCCCATGTGCCAGAACGCTCCAGTAACAGGCTGGTGAACCAGAGCAAGAGAGCAGCCGTGACCTTGAGAGCAAAGACGGCCAAGCTAATAGCTCTGCAGGTGGGCAGCTTCTCCAATTTCACTCCATCCCAAAAGCTGTGAGCATGGAGTTTGTTTTGTGAGATAGGTGAGCATGGCGTTACTGGTCTTGCTTTCTAGGATTTCTACCTTTGCATTTAGGACCTTTGAGGTATATGGCTCTCCAGGATAAAATGTTTCCTGTTACTTAATATAACCTAGATGTCAGCAAGGATGATGATGCCCAGTGAGATCCCGAGGGCAATAGCCACCCTTCCCATTCCTGAGCCTTTCCGCTCCTGGGAATTTCCCGGAGCTGACCTACTCACGATCACCTGCGGCTCCACCTTCCTGCTTATGCAGGGAGCGTATTTTCCCGAATCGTGTGGTTTACCTCTTCTATCCCCACTTGGGCCCCCACCTAAATCCAAAAAATATTTGTCTCTTTCTTTCATTTCCACCCAAATCCACAAGATTTTTGCTTGTATAGTAAAGGCTCCTGAAGGTTTTTAGGGACATTCTGCAGGAGGAGGTGAGGTGAATGAAGGAGAGGGTTTATCTCACAGCAACACAAATGACTTAAAATCAAATGTTTGACATCTCTGTCCTTCAAGGTCTTTTGGCCATTTTGCCATGATTCTTGAACTTGTCTTCCCTCCTATCTCACCTTTCTCCTTCCACTCCTTAATTTCTAATATTTTCTAATGGAACTGTTGCCCTGTCTCTCTTTAGCCTTGTTTCCAGAATCTCTCTCCCCTGCCCTCATGGTGAGTCAAGACATTTCCCCTAACAGTTTCTTACCTAAGAAGCGTGTGATTATCCGATTAGAGGAGGTGGGTAATGAGGCTGGAAAGGAGCCAAATCTCACCAGCCATCATGGTCTGCAGAGGGGGGGAGGGGGGAGTCAGGGCTGGGTGGGGGGCGAGGCAGTAATCCTATCTGGATTTATCAGGAACCTTTCGATTGCAAGTAATGAGATCTGAACTTGAACCAAACCTGACAAAAAAGCGTGATTTATTGGAGGAGTGGAGATTCCAGGGAAGGCCTGCACCCTTAAGCAGGGAAGGCTCAGGGTGCTGCTGGCCTTCAGGAACAGCTGTCCTTCACCGGCTTCACTTTTCTGTTCTGTGGCTACATCCGACTACCTTGCTTTACATGGAGGCATCCCGGGGGAAGGACTTCGCGGACCTGCTCAGGTCAGGTTCCCACGTTAGATCCCTCACCTGTGGCCAGACACTGTGCCAAATGGTAACAGGGCTGCACTGTCAGCAGAAGGCAGGGAGGGCAGCTTCGGAAGGCAGGAGCAACGCTGAGCAGGCAGCCCCAGAACCATCCCTTGAGCTTCTGAGCAGAGGAGGGAGGAAGCCTGAAAGGACCTGCATGTTGGGCTCGAGAGTAGGCATTACAGACGACAGTTTTTTTCCCTTTTATTCATAAAAACAAATTTGCAACAATTTATTAAAAATTGATACCATGCAATAGGGGGACGAGAAATTCCTCATGTACATTGGATTCTGGCAGTTCCAGTCTAATTTGAAGCGTTTGTGCACTAACATCATTGGAAAACACCTCAGGCCAAATGAAGCCTTTTCGGAAATGTGCCGTGTGTTTGCTGCGTATAAAAGAACAGACCGTTAAATAGCTAGAGTCACTTCTGTGGGTCTTGTTATTTGCAGGGAAATTTTTTAAAAAATGGGTGAACCTACAGGATCATTAAGACAGAGAATGTACTTGGTGGGTTAACCTAGGAGACTGTGCACGCTCAGGAGTCACAATGGGGTACAGACGCACACGCTCACCTCCGACTGCCCAATACTTCTGTTTCTTTCCCCCCCCTGCTATGCTGGAATAATATTTCTACAGGTATTTTTTTTTTTGTGTGTGTGTATACATTATGTACAATGAACTGTCTCTTTCTCTTTTGAAAAACTAAGGTGACCCTTTAAATTAAATCTGATTTTGGTGAAATCAAGAAAGCAAGTAAATACTGTAATACACAGTGAGTGACAACACCGGTTTTTAGTGCCTAAACAGACAATGACTTCAACTGGACCTGTGATGTGTTAACATTTGTTTTCCCCTAAAAGCTACAGTACCTCCATAACCTCTCTGGGGGAGGGGAGAGGAAAAGCTACTCTACGTGAAATAGGGTGTTCTGAAATGGTGGCGATGGTGAGATTCCCGTGGGCCCTTTGTCAAAGCCTGGTGGTGACAGCAGCATAGTCCTGACGTCAGTGGTCTGGGAGGAGATTATTGCCTGCCTGTGGAAGCTGCCATTAGGTTTCTTTAGGGAGCGAGCGACTGCTCGGTTGTGCAGATGTCCCGGACGTTGTCATTCAGGCCTTTCTTCAGCAAAGAATGAACCTGTCTAGGAAGGTCACAAAAGTCATAGGGAGCCTCTCTCTTCAGCCAGCTGATCCTGATAGAGGGCTTCTCTGGGCCACTCCCCTGGCTGCTGTGAGGGCTGAAGGTCACGGTCATCCTGATACCTCACGGATCAGGCTGCTTCACTGTTTGGTATGAAGCTTTCCTGCATGAGATCAAGTGAGATAGGCAGGATGGGTATGACTTCAACCCCCAACTTGTTAAAAGAGGGGAGGCTGAGGCTCAGAGGGACACTGGTGGCCTGCCCAAGATCACGGAGGGAGTCAGCAGTGGGGTAAAGACTTGAACCCAGGTGTGTCTTACTCTCAGGCGGTGCTCTTTGGGGTTCAACTATAAGGGAAGAGTGACAATGTGCTGACTGCTCTCCCCTGTGACCCCCATGGGCACAGCTCACCAGCTTGCCTGGACTGAAGGATGCCTTGTGACTCTGAGAGAAGCCTTCAGCTAGCAATTCCTTCCCCTATGAGTACAGGGATGTCTTCTGGAAGAATGCCCATGATTCACTTTGGTCAGAAACAAAGTCAGTGGGGAAAAACAGTAACAGCAACAACCCAGCAAGCCCTTGGGCCCTGATGAGAGAGGTTAAAGTGCACAATCTTTCTGTTTTGTGTATGCTGGGAGTAGACATCCCATGATTCGCTCAGGTGGCCCCCCGTATTACCAGGAACACCTGATACGAACACAAGGACATGGCCAATGAGGTGGGTGCGTGACCGACCGTCGGTGAATGCTGCAGTACGTGCCTGCAGTGACGTGCCCTAAATCCCCACGGTTCAGAACGGGTGTTAATTGTGTAATGTGTGGCATTTGTCAGAGAGTAAGGTCCCACCAGGAGGCATGTGAGCCAGCCTGTTCCCGCGCCCCAGCCCGGGCCGCCTGCTGCAGAGCTGTGCCTGGCTGCCCTTCCTGCGGGCTCTCTGCTCCAGGAGGGCTGGTGGGCTGGACTGGCAGCTGGGGGCCTGACTGCCCTTCCCACCTCCGTTCCCAGAGGGGAGAAGGGCGGGCCCGGGGTCTGCAGCCAGCGATGGGTGTGCAGAGGCAAAGACCGTTTCTCCAACAGCCCTTCCTCTTCCCAAGGCCGTGCAGAGACTTCGAGCTGGAGTTCCAGTGACTCTTTCCTCGTCTAGGTTTTTCTCTCTCAGAGTTTCAAATACTTCAGTTCCTCCTTTTGCAGACATTAAGGAAAAAGTCGTTTCCACTCCTCTTCTTTGTGAAAGAGTAAAAACTTCACAAGTAAGGCGCGAGGTCAGGTGCCAAGTGCGCCCCGTCCTGTCCACCTGACTGCCGTCCAGAGTCCCGCAAGGCCAGCACGGCGCCCCGCTTCTCCGCAGCCAGATCCGACAGTGTTCCTGTAGCAGACACCTCTGCTCTGAGTGGTTCTGTCATGGGGGAGGCCCAGCCCCAGGCCTACCACCTTCACAGGCCCGAGACCATAACTCGGAAGGAGGGTGGCACGTGTCTGTGGCGGGGGCTGGCCGTGGGGCTGACGCAAGGGCTGACACAGCTGGCGTCCACACCTCCAATGGATGGGAGGTAGGCGTGGTGGAGGATGGGGAGCTGGAGGGACAGCCGGCGCTGGATGCTGTGGCAGAGGGAGAGAGAGAGAGAAAGAGAGAGAGAGAGAGAGAGAGAGAGAGAGAGAGAGAGAGAGAGAGAGAGAGAGAGAGAGAGAGAGAGAGAGAGAGAGAGAGAGAGAGAGAGAGAGAGAGAGAGAGAGAGAGAGAGAGAGAGAGAGAGAGAAGTGTTAAGGGAGGCTATCTGGCTGCTCACCAAAAAGCCCATGGACTTGCTTTGGCCAAAAGGCTGATGGTAGCAGCACAGTTTTCTTTGAATTCTCTGAATTCAAGATCATCTAACCATTCACCTGTCTAGCAGGTCTTTAATTCAGGCCTACCTGTACCGCCCAGGCAATAACCAGGGAGACAGTAAGCAAGGAGGGTGCTCCTTGAGCTTCTGGTTATTCCTAAGAATAAGGCTTTGCCCTTTCAATAGGGCTTTCTGCAAACACAGACAGCTCTCATTGTCTACTCTTGCTGGCCTCTACATGAATGTGGCTTTGGGTTTCATCCCAGAAAGGCTTCTCAGCTGACCCATCCTTCCCCACTGGTTCTGCCTCCCTGCCTCATCCAAGAACTCAGCCCTTCTTGCTGGGCCAATTCCAGAAGGTTCCTTCCTGGTCTTTGGTGACATGCATTATTTTTTCCAAACTGAGATGGGACACTCAGGGCTCGTTAAGATCTGTCTCTTGCCAGATTCTCCAGTTGGATCTTCTGTAAACTCTACCCTCTGGCAGCTAGTTTCCCCTAAAACACTGCTCATGGCCACTCTCCATGCCTTTGCACAGGCTGTTTCCCCAGCCTGGGGAACCTTGTTCTACTTGCCATCTGATGAGCTCTTTTCCTTCAAGATCCAGCTCAAATGCCACCTTTGTGCTAATTCCCCCAGAGGATGAGCCCATTCCTCCTCTGAGCCCCAGAGCCCTTGGAAACTTCTGAAATGCAGGCAGAAATACCGGTGCCGGAGCTGGAGGAGGGTTTGCTTGACTGATGGAGGAGCAGACTGGAAACGGAACTGCCTTCCGACTCCCCTCTATTGCCACATCTCCACACTCCCCTTCTCATCGGTCTTCACATGACTGGCAGGTCAGGAAGTCAGCTTAGTTGTTGGAAAAGCCACTGCCCCTGCTTTGCTCACTTCTCCACTACATCTGGGAAGCTGCATTCCCTGCATCCGTAGGCCTGCTGTGTCCCCACTGCCTGGCCACGCAGGTGGGACGAAACTCTAGATCTCCACAGAAACCCAGAAGGCAAAAGCAGTATTCACATCATAAAGACGAGTTTATGTAACTTGCTCACAGAAACAAACAGGGTGGGACTTCTGCATCTGTGAAACCACAGAGTTTTGAGGAAGAGGCCAACACAGTGACTGCCTCAATGCAACAGGTTGTGCTCTGGACGGTAGGTAGGGCATTGTTTTGGGATCTGAGATGGATGGGGACAGAGGCAGGGCGTGCTGCCCCCACTCCTTATAAGGACCTGCTGGCCAAAAGGGCTTCTCCCAAGAGATACTTTGCACACATTCGCTAGATAAGGGTGTTGGAGATCTCATTTTGAAATTAAAGTTGAACCTTTTTAACATCAATTATGATTAATTCCTTAAGGCAAGATGGTGTTGGAAACAAGTCCAGAACAAGGGAGCTGAAGAATAAACTCTGACCTGGGGAAGGATGCCATCTACCTGGGCAAGGTGGTTGTCAGAGCCAGAGAATTCTGCTGTCTGATGGGATCCTGTTTACATTTTCATTCATTCAACAGACACTTGCCAAGAACCTACTCGGCGCTTGAATCTGTGTTCCGTCCACGGGACATATGAAGGACCTATATCTTACTGTCATGGTGCTGACATTCTAGTGTAGGTGAATTGCTGACACATGCAATGTTACCATCACCAATTGTTCTGACTGGAAGCCAGTGAGCCTTGGAGCTAATTGGGTGGAGAGGCTATTATAATAGCTCTAACACTGAACGGCCCCAAATGGCAAGGCAGTTGGTGATTCAGCTGTTTTTGCTGGTTCTCACTGCTTGTCACTTCCCAGGAGCCAACTTACAGGGTTGACATTTCTAATCTCTGCTTCCAATCTGTTGTGAGCTGGGAAGAATGAAAAACTACCAGTGGGAACAAAGGGAACTGAGGTGTCCAGGTCTTTGCTCAGAGGTTTCCTTCTCATTGAGTTTTCTCTGACCACCCTATTTAAAACTATACTTCTCACCCCCCTTCCCTGCTTTATTTTTCTCCAAGCACCCACCATTTAACATACGAAGTTTTGCTTTTTTAATTAAGTAATTGTCTTAAAAACTAGATTGGTAACTCCATGAAGGGAGGGATTTTTGTCTGTTTTCTTTACTGCTGTGTTTGACACATAGTAGGTCTCAGTAAATCACTGTTAAATAAATGCATTTAGCAAGATTAAGTTTTATATATAATAAAGCCAATGTGCTACAGTGGAGAACATGAGATTTGATATTAGACAGATCCCAGTTCAAATCCCATCTCCTGCACATAGCAACTGGATGAGCTTTGACGAGTCACCTCCTTTTTTGAATATTAATTTTCTCATCTGTATAATGAGCATTGTCATCTGACCTGCAACATGGGATTGCTGTGGAGTTCAAATAAAATAATGGGCATGAAGACATGGTGCATGGTAAACTGTAAACTGTTCTGCAGGTGTCACGTTCTGTGGCAGCAATTCTCAAGGAGAAGGTACTTACTGTTCTGGGGAGTTTATATCTTCTATAGGATCTTTGCATGTTCTCGACGGCTCTGTTGTGTTCCATTGCAGCTGGGGATTTTGATCGAGGTGATTTTTTAAAATGGCCTTTCCTCCATCTGAATGCAAAACAGCGCCACAACACGTGATATTAACTTGATTTTTAAAAGTTGACAATGCAGTATTTGTAGGATGTTGCCCCAGAAGAGAGGATGCAAAAGAGTCCAGCATCCCTCTGCCTTCTCCAAGCCAGGGTCTCTTCAGCAGCTCTCCTGGGACCAAGGCTGGGAGCAGAGAGGCCTCCACCCAGGGAGGGAAATGGCGTGCTGGAGATGTGTATGGTGTGCCCCCTGCCCTCCTTTTCTCCAAGAACAAGATAATAAAATGGGGGTGGGGATGTGAAATCAGATCAACCAATGGAGGCAACATAAAATTTCTCCTTTTATGAAAAGAAAATAAGCTTGTTACCCGAGTTATAATATATTTTGGCTTACTTGTTGTTTAATTATTTTATTACTTATGATGGCTTTTACACTGCAAGAAAGTTTTCTTTTGGCCTGGCCAGGTGGCTCAGGCAGTTGGAACTTCATTCCGTACTCCAAAAGGTTGTGGGTTTGATTCCCGGTCAGGGCACATATCTACATTGCAGGCTCAAGGTCAGAGCGTGGTCAGGGCGCAAATAGGAGACAACCCATCGATGTTTCTCTTTCACATCAATGCTTTTCTCTCTCAAGTCAATAACAATTTATCCTTGGGTGAGGATTAAAATATTTTTTTTTTCTTTTGTAGTTGAATTTGTCAACCTTTTCTGGTTTATGTGTTTTGCATCAAACTTAAAAAGTATTTCCTTCCTCTTATAAAATAAATTCTTCTATACTTTCTTTTAGTATTATATATTCATGGTTTTACCTCTTATATTTAAATCTTTTATCCACTTGGATTTTTATGTAAGTGTAAGGATCTAACATTAGTTTTTATCCCAATGATATTTACTAAATAATTCATCATCCTACTAATTTGAAATGCCCACCTTTAATGAGAAATAATTTTTATTCTTTCAATTTCCTTGTTACCTCAATTTAAACATTTTAAACAATCAATATACAATAAATTTATAATACTGCTTTTATAACATATTAATTATATTATATGTAATAAAATTAATTATAATTTTTATATATTAATTTTATAATAGAATACTTATTACTGACATAATAATAAAAGAAACAAGACTTAAAACTTAATTTTGTAATAAAAACGAATATATGCTAATGACAAACGCAAACAATAAAGAAGTATATAAAATAAAATGTAAAAAATTCCCTTCTCACCCATACTTCCATACAAGTGGATACTGTTAACTATTTGGTGTCTGTTCTTCCAAATAATTTTAAAAAATGCACTTATACACACATGCAATTTACATATATCATAATGGTAGTCTTCAGCTTGCTTTTCACCTGGAGATCTTGCCATATCTGCACAAATAGATCACTTGTTTTTTTTGTTAATCCTCACCAGGATTAATCCTCAGCCAGGACCCACCTCACTTACAAAATTTTTTTTAATTGATTTTTTATAGAGAGGAAAGGAGGGAGATAGAGAGTTTGAAACATCGATGAGAGAGAAACATTGATCAGCTGCCTCCTGCATACTCCCTACTGGGTATGTGCCTACTACTAAGGTACATGCCCTTGACCAAAATCGAACCTGGGACCCTTCAGTCCGTAGGCCAATACTCCACCCACCTCACTTTTTTTTTTTTTTTTAAATATATATTTTATTGATTTTGTACAGAGAGGAAGGGAGAGAGATAGTTAGAAATATCGATGAGAGAGAGTCATCGATCAGCTGCCTCCTGCACACCCCCCACTGGGAATATGCCCGCAACCAAGGTACATGCCCTTGACCGGAATCGAACCCGGGACCTTTCAGTCCCCAAGCCGACGCTCTATCCATTGAGCCAAACCGGTTTCGGCTTACCTCACTTTTTATTAGCTGTATTATGCACATTGATTGTACCATAATTAACAAAACTACCCCAAATAATGACCATTTGTGTTAATTCTAGCTTTTGTCCCCTAAAAATAACGTGATGAACAGTGTGTGTCTATATTTTTGCCTACATGGGAGTATTTCCAAGGATGGGCTCCCGCTAGTGGAATTGCTAGGTTGAGAGATTTCACATCTAACTGTTGGAGAGTGTCAGACTGGCTTCCAAAACGTTGCAGGAGAATTCTCAGTTCCATACATTCTTACCTACATTGGAATCTAACATTTTGCTGAAACAAAAATGGCTTGTGTTACTTCAGCTTTCATTTCCCAGGTGGTTGGGGCGAGAGAGGGTCACATCCTATAAGACATGCTATTGGGAGGAGTACATGTGATCTATTTGCTAAGAACAACGTGCCTCCGTCAGGACGCTGGGAATGCTGGCCATGAGTGTATAGGAGCAGCTGCAGCCTCAGGGTCTGAGAAGCACCAGCCTCAGCTCTGGCGGAGTGGGGCTCTAGCTGGACCCTGCTCTGTGGCCTGAGATATGGGCTTCAGGTGATCAGGCTCTGCCTGTGTGACTTCAGACCTGCCCGCCCCTCCCTGACCTCAGTTTCTTCATCTGTAAAACGGAAGGTTGATGGCTGGTATCTTGATACCCAGGGACCCACGCTCCAGGGACTCCACCTCCTCTTACCTGTGCTCTCGGGGAAGTTCCCCAGGTTGAGGATGTCGTTGAGCTCTTGGTAATGGTTCTGTTTGATGTAGGTGGTCTTTTCTGGCGTGTCCTGCAGCTGCATGGTGACCTCTTCCAAGTCTTTATCAAGCTGGAAGACAAAGGCTCCAGCTGAGTCAGGGCTCCAGCCCAGTCCCTGCCCAGCCCTGGCAGCCAGGCCTCTGGAGCCAAGAAGTGGCTCACAGGGTCACAGGGCTGGGCCTCGGGCTGGTTTTGGGGGGCACTGAGAGCCAGAGGGGCGGGTGCATGTTGGGGAAGAGATGCAGATGGCCCTGCCAGCTCTTGTCCCAGGAGGAGCTGTGATGAGAGGGGCCTGGGCTTTGCAATGATGTGTCCAGTGCAGCCGTGTGCCTCATGGAGCAGCCCAGGGAGGAGGGGAGAGCATCCCAGTGCTGGCTCTGAGGCTGGACAAGCCTAGAGGCAGGCCCAGGGCTGTTCCTCACTAGCTGTGTGCTGGCTGGTGAGAACTGAGTTTCAGCTCTTTTATGTGTAGAATGGGTGTAATAATGGTATCTATCTTACAGGGTTCTTAGGAAGATTAAGTGAGATAATACAATAATTTAGTCCAGTACTTAACCACATATAAGAGTAATCTGCTACTATACAATCATTACTGTAATTATTATTGATACTAGCAGAGTCCTTGGTGTGGGGGAACAGATCTACAGATCTGGCCAGCTCTGAGCCCCACGCTGTTGTGGAGAATCAGATCAGTAGAGGTGCCTTAAGGGGAGTTAAGCAGAAGGATCCCAGGCACCCGCAGCTTATGGAGGGAGGGCATGTATGGGAGGGTCGGGGGGGGCAATGGTATATGTACAAAGATAATAACTTAATTAAAAAAAATTTAAAAAAAAGAATCAGATGCAAACCCTGGGCAGTTCAGTCCCTGGGGAATGTGGTGGGGAGTGGACCGTAGTTGGGAGGGTAAGGGCACCCTATTACAATGCAAGGGAGGGACCACATCAACTGTAAAGTACTGTCCTGAGATCAAGGGCACAGCCATAAGTTATTTATTACGTTTTCATGTGCAGAAGGTGAGAGATACATCTTTCTCTGTGACTCAAATGGCAAGGCTAAGATCAAAGGTAGAAGCACTAGGAAACCAGATTGTAGTTCAAGTCCAGGGAAAACAACCCAGCACCTTAAGGTATTTGACTGTGGCTTGGGTTTTGCGTTTCCTAAAGTGAGTAAACTCTTCGTTGCTAGAGTGTGGAAGTCGAGAGACAGAAACCTTTCCTCCTCTGCTCCCGGGGCTAGTGGAGGGCGGCCCCTCTGTGAAAGGCGGCTTTCGATGCCCAGGCCGCAGTGTAGAGGCTCTGTGGCAGCGACTGTGAGCCCCACAGAGGGACTACCAGATTAGCAACTGAAAATACAGAATACTCACATTTGTGTGTCAGATAATAAGGAATCATTTAATAAAAATAAGTATATCCCAAATATTGTGTGAGACATACTTATACTAAAATTATGACTGGTTGTTCGTCTAAATTAAAAATCTTTTTCAAAATGAAGAAAATTTTATCCTCATTATAAAAATGATTCATGTTCATCTTAAGAAATTCAAACAATGCAGAGGGAAGTGTAAAGAATCAAATCTGAAATTCCCACTTCGTACATCTATGTGTATATATACTATTAAACACACTCCTATTTCTACTTAGATTATTGCATGAATATTCATTCTATTCTACAATCTGTTGTATATTACTTGTCATATCATACCATTCGACATGATGATGACTTAAAAACACCCTGTAATTTCCTTTTTAATTAAATGTGTTTGAATTAAAATTTAACTGGGCATCCTGTATCTAATCTGACAATCCTAGGTTTCACTTCTTCCTTGGGACTCTTAGCTATAGACTATATTTCCCAGACTCCCTCTGGCTAAATATACTGTGCAATTTCCTGTCAAATGTAACTGGAGCAAACCGAAAATTTTGAATCACTTGTTTAAAAGGCATTCCCCTGCATGGACTTCCTTTCTCTTGCCTGTAGCTAAATTGGACAGAAGTTGAGGGTAACCTGGGGACCTACTTCTTGTGATTGGTATCTGAAATTGGGTGGGAGCAGTGCTGTGGGACCGAGCCTTTAACCTGTGGGATCTGACACTGTCTCCAGACAGTGTTAGAACTGAGCTAAATCGTAGGTTACCTAGCAGGTGTTGCAGAGAATTGTGTGGTGGGGAAAAAGCCCCCACACATTTGGTGACCAGAATTGTCAGAAGTGAAGTGTTCATGTGAGCAGGAAAGGGGCCACACAGGAGGTGTACAACTGAGTTTTTCCAACTCACTGCTACAATCTGGAAGTTCACAAATCTCTAAGAACAACTTTCTTTCTGGGGATGTATTGAATTAGGGCATTGCTGGACCCCAGGAGCCTAAGCCAGCTGGGCAATAAACTCCTGCCAGATCTGACTAATAGCCTGTCTGGCTCACGTTCTCCTTGGTGCTTGCAGCCGTCATGACAGATGGGCCTGCACAGCTGTGACGCAGGGATGTCCTGGAGGAGACATGGTGGGAACAGCCGCCCTCCCAGGGCCCTGCATCGGGGCACAGGGGCGCCAGTGGGAGGACGGGGCCCTGCCTGGCAGTGCTGAGGGAGGTACCTCTGTGATCTTCATTCGCAGGCGATGGTTTTCGGACTGCAGGCCCTCGAGGCGGGATGTGCTTGCTTGGTTCACGCTGGTGACAGAGGTGGATGTTTTAGAATCTTCTTTCTTCTGATTCTGAGTGAATTGGAAGCGTCTGTTCTGAGTTGCTGCATCTGGATTTGTTCTCAGAGTGATAAGCTGAAAGAACACAGGCAGGTTTGAAAAAAGAACCCTGGGGTCCTCCTTCCCCTGCTCCATCCAGCCTTCCTGCAGATCCTGCACTGGAGGCAGCGGGGGAAGGGGAGAGCATAGGAAGAACACGCTGGGAGTCCAGAGCCCTGGGCTCAGGACTGTCTCTGCCATTCACTTGTGCATGGTCTGGGCAGCCTCCTGCCCCTCGCTGAGTCTTGGTGACCTTCCTTGTCGGTAGAAGTCTGGTCTTCAGACCCTGATTTCACCTGCATCCCACCTATTTTACAGAGCCCATGAGGCCCCTTAGGCCCGGCTCAGCTGGCCTCACTCTGCCTTGGGCCTTGCACCATGCGGAGGATAAACATGAAGGTGACGCTGTAAAGATGGTGGGATGGAGGAAAGTACGGGCTTCTTGTTAGAACCACTGGCGAGTGTTGGGGGAAGACTAGTGACCAGCTCGGTCACTGACAAAGACATTTTTATATGAGAGAAAAGGTTGCTACTTGACCCTGATCTTACTTATTTAGTTGAGAAACAACTCTGGTTTGAGGCAGACTTTGGGCTTAGGACTGGAGAACAGGGGCTGAGGGAGCCACGACCCCTGACCACCAGGTCCTCCCTCATGGGCCAGGGCTGAGGGGCTGAGCCCTGAGGTTGGGAGAGATGGGGAGGATACGGGAACCCCGGGGGGAAGAAAGGCATATGCCAGCACAGGGAGGCTGGGGCTCAGGGCGCTTATGGAGAAGGGCAGTTTGGACGGTAGACAGGGGTTTCTGGGGAGACTGAAGGGTCTGGAAAGGCAGCGCAGTGTCAGAAACTTGATCCTGGAGACAGGAGGGCAGGGAGGACCTTCTAGGGTGACAGAGCAGAGTGACACGACCAGGCGGGGCTCAGAATCATCTGGCATCTTTTGCAGGATGGAGAGAAAGGCGGAGTGTGGGAAGCAGGGCAGGTAGAGAAGGGAGGAGTATTCGCCAGAGGCATGTAGGGCAGAGCTGACAGTGCTTGGGGACTGACTGGGCACCCAGGAGGATGCAGGTGCCATGGGCAGCCTCTAGGGGAGGAGGCTGTGAGTGATCTCTCCCTCATTCTTCTCGGAGACAGACATTCTGCGGCTTAGGTCAACAACTCCTTCCCCCACGGAGGTCAGGCTTCCCTCTGTGCAGACCTGCCACTGCAGGGGCTCCTAGGAGGGCAGGCCTCTGGGTCACCTGCCGGCTGCTGGGCAGGGTAATGTAGGAAAAACACCTCTCAGGGCGGTCCTGCAGGTCAGCCTTTCAGTTGAATAAAACATGTAAGTGGCTGTTAGGAAAGGTTATTCTTTGTGGCCCACTAATACTACTTCTGCCACTCTATCTTAAGGGAATAATGGGAAATAAGGGACATGTGTTATGTGGAAAAGTTGTTTATAATATATAAAGTCTGAAAACTACTGTAATGAGCACCAATAAAGGACCAAGTGGACAAATAAACGTGCAACATTCCCTCAGTGATGTTATAAACGTGGGGAAATTTAAAACACAAAAAAATAAGTGAAAAAGGCAAACTGCAAAGCAATATATGTGCTAGAATTACAGCTATATCTAAAAAAGCACCACTGCCTAACTATTAAAAGCACTGAAACACATAATAATATTAACAGTAAAGAAACAAAACAAACTTTTTTTTTTGGGTGGTAGGACTATGTGAGGTTTCTGAAAAATCTGGCTTTTACTCTCCTGCATTTTCCAAACTGTCTGCGATGTGAATTGTGCTCGTCATGAGAAAAGAATGTGTACAACGTAGGAAGTGGAGGAAACTCAGTGTGACAAACCCCCGTGTGACAGAGTTGGAAGCCAGAGGCCAGAGGCCGGGCGGTGAGGGCGGGCTGGCGACCCTGCCCCGTACCTTGGGCACAAACACCAGGCAGAGGGTGATGGTGCTGCAGAAGATGATGACCAGGGCCACGATGCAGAACTGCACGTTGGGCTGGTCCCGGGTCAGGAAGGAGACGGCGGCCCCGATGATGCACATGATCCCCACGTTGTAGACGCTCATCCCGATGTACTTGCTGTCGTTGAGCGCGGGGATGCTGACATTGCGGGTCTCCCAGGCTAGGAAACAACCGAACAACTGAAACGGTGAACAGAGAGGAAAGATGGTCATTACCAAGTGGTGGCACACGCTCTCCTCTCTGAGGAGCAACTGAACAGAGGGCTGGCTACCTGGGAAGTGGGGGCTGCGGGAGGGAGGCTGGGGCTTAGCTATCAGCCAGGTCTTCTGGAGGTCACCACCTGTCTCCACTCATGGCCCTGGGTTGAGTCTGGGGGTGCCGGTTGGGAGTGTTACAGCTGTCTGGTTCTCCTTCGCCCCCTCTCCTGGTTCATGCACAGACACACAGGAGCCGTAGCGGGAAGGACCTTCAGACATGATCTTCACCATCTCCCCTCATTCTAGAGAGAACACTGAGGGCCAGAGAGAGGAAGGGACTTATCCCAGGCCACAGAGCAATATGGTAGCAAAAGTGGACTGTGTCTCTAGTTTAGTCTTTTCCCCATTATACCAGCAGGAGCCCCTGTGTCCGGGACTTCTGTTACCCTACAATGCACATAGCTACCCAGAATAGACACTGTATTTCCTAGTCTATACATGACCAGGTTCTGGACAATGCCATGTAGTGTGCACAAGTACGTACAAGTTCTGGAAAGTGTCTTTAAAGAAAGAGAAAGATGTTCTTTTCCTCCTTCTTAATAGATGGAGTAGAATAGGTAGAGTTCAGACCACTAAGTCATCTTAGACTACAATGTGGAAGCAGCATGATGAAGAAGGGGGCCCATAGAGGCAGGAGCTGTGGGAAGTAACTGTCTTTTTAACCACTATTCTGGTTTTTGGTCCCTTGCAGTTCTACTCTTAACCAGTATCTCCCAACAGAATTGAGCAGGGTAGGTCTCCAGTGTAATCTGAGGCAGTGTGTTGAGAGTTTATCTTCACAGGTGGTCTAAGGGCAGGGCAGGCTGCAGGAGGACGTGCAGATAAAATGCAGGGCAGGAAAGTGTGTGGGTGGGAGGCAGCGCTGACCAAGACTGCTGACTGTGCAGAGGCTTCTGCTGCAGTGCAGCGTGTCTGGGAGGCCTTCCCACAAAGGCTCTCTTCGCTGTCATCTCCTCACTGTGGCTGACACCTGGGCCATCTGCTTGAGCTGCTTAACAGCACAGTGAGGGGCTATGTTTTGAGGTTTGGTTTACTTTGGCACCAGGCCGGAGGATCTGGAATCTGCTCTGCTGTCCACTGGCTGTGTGACTCTGGGCATGTCCCTTCACCTCTCAGGGCCTTAGTTTCAATATCTGTGGAATGGGAATAAAGATACCTCTCTTTCAGGGTTTCTTTCCAGATGCAATGAGAGGGTGGATGTGAAAGCATATTATAAATGGAAATGCCCTATATAGAATGTAAATTGCATTTTATAATTGGTATTATGTTATATAGTCATGGGTATTTTCCTCTCCTTTTCTTAGGGTGTTATCTCACAGACTGATGTATTTAAAAAAAAATTCCTTTTAAAATTGGAACCAGAAGCCCAGGAAACAGACATGGAATGAGAGAAAGAACCCAGAGCTGAGAAAGTCTGCTTTGTGCTGGTTCCCTCAAAGTTGGCCCCCTGCAATCCCACAAGAACACTGGGCATGGCTATCCACATTGCACAGGGGAAGAAGAGGTTGGACAAGGTGAAGTGAGCTGCCCGGGTCCCACAGTAGTGAGTGTCAGGGCTGGAGGGTGCTAGGACCCCTGCTCTCTGACAGGGTACCTGACCTGCTTTGATTTCAGACTTCTGACCTCCAGAACTGTGAGATGTTTTATTTTATTTTCATTACTATTATTTTAAATAAATCTTTAGTGTTCAGATTATTATAATTGTTCCTCTTTTTCCCCCCACAGATCCCCTCCACCTGGTTCCTAATCCACCCTCTGCCATTGCCTCCCCCCACTGTCCTCATCCATAGATGTACGATTTTTGTCCAGTCTTTTCCTGCACCCCTTACACCTATTTCCCCTGAGAATTGTCATTCTACTCCCTTTCTAGGCCTGATTCTATTATATTCATCAGTTTATACTATTCATCAGATTTTTTATTCACTTGATTTTTAAATTTACTTGTTGATAGATATGTATTTGTTGTTCATAATTTTTATCTTTACCTTTTTCTTCCTTTTCCTTCTTCTTCCTCTTCTTAAAGAATACCTTTCAGCATTTCATATTATACTGGCTTGGCAGTGATGAACTCCTTTAGCTTTTTCTTATCTATGAAGCTTTTATCTGACTTTCAATTCTGAATGATAGCTTTGCTGGGTAGAGTAATCTTGGTTGTAGGTTCTTGCTATTCATCACTTTGAATATTTCTTGTCACTCCAGTCTGGCCTGCATAGTTTCTGTTGAGAAATCAGCTGACAATCGTATGGGTGTTCCCTTATAGATAACTAACAGTTTTTCTCTTGCTGCTTTTAATATTTCCTCTTTGTCTTTTGCTCTTGGCATTTTAATTATGATGTGCCTTGGTGTGGTCCTGTTTGCATTCCTTTTGTTTGGGGTTCTATGCACTTCCTGTACTTGTAAGTCTATTTCTTTGACCAGGTGGGGAAAGTTTTCTGTCATTATTTCCTTCAATAGGCCTTCAATATTCCGCTCTCTCTCTCTCTCTCTTTTTCTGGCACCCCCATAATTTTGATGTTGCTGTGCTTGAAATTGTCCCAGAGTCTCCATACACTATCTTCATTTTTGGATTCTTCTTCTTTTTTTCTTTTCTTTCTTTTTTTTTTTTTTTTTTTTTGCTTTTCCAGTTGGGTGTTTTTTGCTTCTTCATATTTCAAATCTTTGACTTGATTATTGTGATCCTCTAGTCCCGTAATTGGCAAACTGCGGCTTGCGAGCCACATGCGGCTCTTTGGCTCCTTGAGTGTGGCTCTGCCACAAAATACCACACCCTGGGCAAGTCTATTTTGAAGAAGTGGCATTAGAAGAAGTTTAAGTTTTAAAAATTTGGCTCTCAAAAGAAATTTCAATCATTGTACTGTTGATATTTGGCTCTGTTGGCTAATGAGTTTGCCAACCACTGCTCTAGTCTGCTGTTGGATCTCTGTATATTATTTTTTATTTCAGTCAGTGTATGCTTAATTTCTAGTTGGTCCTTTTTCATATCTTTGAGGGTCTTGCTAAATTTATTGGCCTTTCCTAGAAAATTCTTGAAAAACCTTATAACCTTTTGAACTCTATATCCAGTCATTTGCTTTCCTCCATTTCTTTTATTTGTGACCTGTTTCTTTGTCTCCACATTTTGGCTGCTTCCCTGAGTTGATAGGGTGTCTTTGTGTGCTAGGTGTCCTATAGAGCCCAGTGGCTCAGCTCCCCAGTTACCTGAGGTGGACACTCTTAGTGCACCCCTTTGTAGGCTACATGCACAGTCTTGTTGTAGTTAAGTCTTGATTGTTGTTGATATCACTGGGAGGAATTGACCTCTAGGCCAATTGGCTATGAAGATCAGCTTTGTCTACAATGGGAGAACTTCTGTGCTGGAGACACCTTTATGAGAAAAGACTTGCTTCAGCGGGGTTTTGGTGCTCACTGGGTCTGCACCCTGAGTGCATCCCTTATGGATCTGAGGAGTTGTAATATGGATGGTCCCACTCTGACTCCTGGGTGCACTGGCTCTTGGATCTCCAAGGAGATGCTAACTTAGCCTCTGCCTGAGGCCACCCAGCAGGAGCTACAGAGAGATCTGCAGATTCCTCTTCTTTGTTTGGGTTTTGGAGGTGCTCGAATGAGGCCCATGAGTCCCAGCTGTGAAGCAATGCCAGCTGCTGTGGGGCCTTGGCCTTCTTTTGGATGTTTTTGGTCTCACTGACTCAGCTGCAATTTGTTAGGTAAGTTTAGAATTCAAAGGACCAGGCCATTCATATGAAAAAGCCTCTGCGCTCAACTTGGATGGGGTGGAGTCTCAGGACAGAGCAAACAGCAATGGTTTCCTGTCAGCCCTGCCATAAGAGGCCCCTGGGTCTCAGCGTCACATGGTAATCACTGCAAGGACATTTGAGAGAAAGTTGCCCTTGAGTTTCGCCCGTTGCCAGACAGTCCAGGTTCTTCCCGTATGAGTCTGGGTCCCCAGAGTATCGCCTGAACTGGAGTTCAGAGCAGTTGGGAACTTGTATCTTCCTCCAGCTTAAAAAAGTCAGCTGCAAACTCAGTTGCCAGCCCTCTCCATGTATGCGCCTCTGTAACTCTCGGCTCCTGTGAGTCTCAGTGTGCTTTTCTCTTTCCTTCTAGTTGTAGAATTTCTACTCAGCCAGCCTTCCTGTGGTTTTGGATGATGTCCATTTTGTCTTTTAGTTGTAATTATAAAATTGTTGTGCGAGGCAGCAGTTCAGGTGTTTACCTATGCCGCCATATTGGTTTCTCTCCAGAACTGTGAGATGTTTTAAGTCACTAGTTTGTGGTAATTTGTTATGGAAGCCACAGGAAACTAGGATGCCATCCATGGATGGTATTAGGCTGCTTTAAAGGGGGTAATCTCCCCATCACTGGAGGTGTGGTAGCAGGGGGTGAAAGAACACTTGTTGGAATGCTCATGGTGGTCTGTGCAGTTTGAGGATGTTGACAACAGAGTGGGATTACAGGGCTGTGCATGCTCTTTCAGCCTTGAGATTCTGAGGTTCAAGTGCAGGAGGGACTAGGAGAGGGGTTTTAAGTGATAAATCATAATGGCCAGGAGGGCTGTGCACAATTCTTTGCATAAACTGGAAACTAAAAGATTTGTGCTATCAACTATAGTTTTATTGATATGATCTGATTGGTATTAGCTTTACTGGAAGAGATACAGTCATCTCCAACCACTTTGGAAGTAGGTGGGGAAGATAATCAATGGCCAAAACAGTATAGATAAATCCAGTTTAGAGTCGATCTGATTCACATAATCTAATTTTACAGAGTCAGAGTAAAAAACATGGAGGCTGAAGGGATCCTGGAAAGAGTCCAGTTTCACTCTCTTTATTAAACAAGGGCTGGGGCAACTCAAGTCATGGATGTTGCACATTTCCTGTAACAGGGAACTCATCCCTTCCCAGGGGCACCATCACATCTGCGAACACCATTCTATCATATGAAATCAGTCCTTACGTGGACCAGGGGGCTGCTTTGCCCACTGATGATGGTTCTGCCCTCGATTTGTGCCACCTGTCTCTGACAGACCTGGTGCCCATGATCCCAGAGTATGTCCCTTCCCAAGCCTAGGACCTTAGGCCAGTCTTTTAATGACTCATTTACATTCTGGGCACCTCCTGTGGGCACTTACAGGTCATTACCTCATGGGATTCAGATGGCAGCCCAGTAGTTTTCAAAGGACCTCTATGGAAACACACAGGGTGTCAACTAGTGTGAAGTGAGGGAAATCTTTGCCTAGGGTCCCCTAACACTTGCTCTTCTCATGTGGCCCCTTGAAGGACCCAGGATCGACTACTAACAGTTTCAGAAGCAGCAGCAGGTGTGGAAGCATTTGACTAGCGTAACGAATCCCAGTTTATTTTATGACTTTTCGAGGTGGCTTCATTTTCCACTTCTAAGTGGAGGCCACACAGTAGCAGATGGTGGATTAGCTTTCCCGAGGGAAGATCTACGGAGGGTGTAGCAGCAGCTTCCTGTCACTGGAGGTGTTTTAAGTGGAGGCACAGTTTTCACAGCATGTGGAGAGAAGATTCAAGGATCAATCTGGGATAAGATAAGGTGGGGCTCACCTTTAAGCCCTTCCTCACTTCGACATTCCACAATTGTGTGAGGTGGGCTTGGCATGTGATCTTTGATATAAACAGAAGAGTAGAGTGGAAAAAGTGCTAGGTTCTGGGGCTGAAAGTTACCAGATGGCCTGTTGCAAATCCCTTAACTCTCTGATCCTTACTTTCATCATCTATAAAACTGGATGGGTCCAGTAACCTCCCATGGATTTAGAGGATCCAGTGAAATTCAGATGTGAACATGTGTTAGATGTCAACAGACTGTCCTCCAGGAGCCGTACAGCGGCAGCTGCACAGAGCCATGCTCCCAAGTTTTGTTTGACTCTGCCTCTTACTAGCTGAGTGACCTTGGGCAAACAGCCTCAGCATATTCCTCAGGGAAGTACTAACGAACACATTATTTATATTAACTCACAGCGTTGTTATAGAAATTGCAATAACTTGTGGCAGGTACTGGGCCTGGCATAAAGCCAGTGCTTAGTCCTGGGGGGGCTCTTATTTTTATGTTGATGGAGGTTCCTAGGATACAGAGTGTGACAGGGAAGCATTTCCCTGCACTCCACCTCCTGCTCTGCACCTACCATGAGAAGCCCCTTGTAGGCATAGACGATGCCAAGCCAGATGGTCATGTGGGTGTTCTCACAGTGCTCCAGGAGAGGGCGGATGGAGATGTCTCGTCCTGCTGGGTCCGGCTGTGCAAAGAAAAAACAGAAACTCAGGGATGGCACTGGGCACCCTTCCAACAACTGGGTCCCTACCTGACTGCGCTTTTCTCTCCCATAAGCTACAGCTAGTGCCACCATCAGGAAGATTTTGGGACCTGCCTCTTTTCCACCTGTGTTCCTATGGGGACGGGCCTCAGCGAGGTTGACTGCCTCCTGTTTGTTGGTTGTGATTCAGCCTGAATTAAAGTTATATATGTTTTTTTCATGCCCTTCCAATTTGAGTCAGAGCTCCTGAGGGCAGGGAATGAGTCACTTCTGTGCCCCTAGAATCTAGCACAAGACTTGGTCCAGAGTAAGCATCTATAATATTTTTGAAAGAGGGTGAGATTGAAGCATGAAATTAGGTCAGGAGGCCTTTAGGTATCTCTAGAATGAACTTGGGGAGCTGTAGGTACAGATCTACTGGCTGGGCCAATCATGGGGCCTGCCAAGTCCTTCTAAAGAGACCCCCTTGCCCACCACCCCATTAAGTGAGCTTTGGGGGCTGCATTACCCATTGAGGCTAGAGCTGATTGGACAAGGGATGGGCACCTGACCCTAGGCAGCCAATCCAGATGCTAGTCAGAGACCTATGAGGTTTCCTAGAGCAGAGTGCTCTGCCCAAGAGGGATGGTAGAGAGGATCCTACCCAACCTCAGGAATTAGAACTGGGAACTTCTGGGAGAGAATCAGGCAGGAGGTAGCAAGAGGAGAAAAATACACCCAGGGGAAAAAAAATTTATACTGTATAGATACAGGGTGGGAGAAAAGTAGGTTTACAGTTGTTCATATGGAAACTAATATAATCATTAATAAATAATAATAATACAAGAAAAAACTGTGTTTTACATACTCACAACTATAAATATACTTTTGCCCCACTCTGTACTTTTCCTGAGTCATTGAGAGTAAGTTGCAGATATCCTAAACCTTCACACCTAAGTATCTAGCATGTTTCCTTAGAATAGTGGTCGGCAAACTCATTAGTCAACAGAGCCAAATATCAACAGTACAACGATTGAAATTTCTTTTGAGAGCCACATTTTTTAAACTTAAACTTCTTATAACACCACTTCTTTAAAATAGTTTTGCCCAGGCCGTCGTATTTTGTGGAAGAGCCACACTCAAGGGGCCAAAGAGCCGCATGTGGCTCGAGATCCGCAGTTTGGTGTCCACGGCCTTAGAACAAGGAGATTCTCTTACATAACCACACACACTTAACCAAATTCAGGAAATTTAACATTGATACAGTATATTATCTAATATACCATCCATTTTCAAATTTCACCAGTGGGCCAAAAATGTCCTTTAAGGCAATTGTGGTTTTTCCAAAGCAGGATCCAATCCGGGACCATGTATTGCATTTACTTGTCCTACCTTTAATATCAAACAGTTCCTGAACCTACTTTGGTTTTTCATGTCACTGATATTTCTGAAGTTTCCAGTTTAGATATTTTGTAGAATGTCCCTCAATTTGGGCTTGTCTGAATGTGTTTTCATGATTAGATTTAGGTTGTGCATTCTTGGCAGGAATCCTATGTATGTGATGTTTTGGCCTTCCCACTGCTTCACTTCAGGGGCACTTGATGGTATCTTGTCCTATTACTAGTGACGTTAACTGTGATCATTTGGTTGAGGTGATGCCTGCCAGACTCTGCTTCAAAGGTACTATTTCCCTCTCATAATTAATGAATAATCTGTGGGAGATACTTTGTGCCTGCATGAGTATCCTGTTCCCCCACAAACATTAACTCAGTGGTTTCAGCATCCATTGATGATTCTTACCTGAGTCATATTATTTTGGTGGTTGCAAAATGGTGATTTTCTAACACTATAATTCCATTTAAATACTTGGCATTCTACTGTACAAGATCTTCCCTTACAGCTCACTTTTAAAAATGTGTATCAGTATGGACTTGTAGGTTTCTTTTTAATTCAGTGTCTTATTATCCAGTAATATGACTTTTTAATTTTGATGCTCAATTTTTTCCAGATTTGGCTAATGGAAAACCCTTTCACACTGTCTTCTATGTTTTTCAACGTGTCCTCATAATTTTTTTTTGAGCACTTTCCTACTTCTTGGCACAAGATGTTCCAAGTCTCCTCACACTTTTTTTCCTCAGTCTTAGAATCAGCCATTTCCCCAAGGATTTCTGCTTCTTTTTAGCAGAGATTGGTATTTAGAAACCAGTATCTGGGCATTAGATGTGCTCATGGTTTCTGGGGTATCATTACTTTAAGGTGTATGTATGTAAGTATGTATGTATTTATGATCTATCCATCATCATTCTATCTATCTCTATCTTTCTATCATCTATTTATAGATATATAGGGTGTCCCAAAATGTATACACACACATTGAATAATTGTATACATTTTTGGGGGGACACTTTGTATATAGAAACTCTAACACCATAGGTTTCTTGCTTGCCTCCCTCTATTTCAATATTTGCATCTTTATTCTTACACAGTGAGAACACTGATTTCCAATAACATCAAAATAATTCTCATTTGCTTAATCCTACAAATAAACCCAAAACAGTTTCAGCATTGCTACATCCGTACACTACCAAAAAATTTATTAAGGAAAGTTGAAGATTTCTTTGCATATCTGTCTTTAGAACAGATACCAAAAGGGGTATCTCATAAAAAAACTGTGTTCAGGCTGTTGTCCTATTAAGGCCCAGGGTAAAGTCATATGCCAGAGGGGAAGGGTTAGGCATTCCAGGGTCAATCACCAGGAAGAAGGGGCACTTTGGTGATGTGGAAGGCAGGCCTGAGGCAGGTGGAGGATGGAACCCCTATTTCTCTTGGCCCTGTTCTCTAGGCTTGACCTTTGAGGCAGCAATGGCCGGGGAACCTATGAGTTGGGGAAAGATGGTGCTCCCACATGGAAGCAGGAGTGGTGGGTCCTTGGGCACAGGCCATCTTGTAACCAGAACATCCAGCTGCATGCTCTCTGAGGCCTGATTTCCTTTTGTTGTCCCAAGCCACAGGAAGCCTTAGCTCGGCTTCTGTGGTCCCATGGTCACTGAGTGCACACAGGGGCTGGAGTGCCAGAGGGGAGGGGAGGGTCATGAAGCCTCTGACGCGGTGGCAGTGGGTACTAGTGAGAGACACCCAGGGGAAAGTGGCTACCAGAAACCACAGTCTGAGTGGCCAAGGCCAGAGATTTCCCTTCCATTGCTGCCTGGATTCTAAGGGTGATGTCCTTTCAAGTCCTTTCATTGTTTAACTAAGTAGACTGAGAAGGGATGTGGTCCCAAGGTCAACAGTGACTTTGTGGCAGAACTTGAGTTCTCTAATTTCTGACAACCAAGCAGACATTGGAAGGCAATAGCACAGGCCCATCAGGGCCATGCATGGATAGCAAACCCATTCAAGATGATCGTGTCTGTTCTACAATTAAAGGCACTAATTTATGATGGACTCTTAGATTCCATGTGTCGAGGACTGATTCTGTCAAACATTTTGTTCAATGTAATGATAACTATTCACAGGAAGCTGACCGTGGTTGTCTGGCTTACATGCCCCCGTGACAGACCCCTCTTCCCGCTCTTGGTGAGATGGTTGTAGTTTTTCTACTGAACCAGAACCACCTCATCCTGCACCTCCACCCATTTGTCTTTTCTCTTCGGCTCCCCAGAAGAACCTCAACCCCTCTCCTTGAGTCTGCACACCATCCTTCAGAAGAGGGAGACCCATAGGGAAGGTACACACCACTTCCTCCCATGTCAACCTGGCCCTTTAGCCTGCTTGAGTTTACCATTGATCTATAGGCCTAGGGTCGAGCTCAACCACCTGGTAAAAGTTTGCCAGCACTCTTGCTCTAGATCTTCTTGAGTTTTTAAGTAACTACCTTCCACTGATGATTCATATGATCCTTAGGGTTGACTAAGACCCTGATAGATAATTTTCATCCAATTGTTGTTAGCTCGCTCTTCCCTCTTCTGCAGCTGTCATTCCATCATAATTACCTTGCCCTTGTTAGTAAACCCGCTCTCCCAACCCCAGTCCCCATATTCATCTGCTCTGTTTTCTTTGAATCCTGAAATGCTGATTCTTACATCTGGTCTTTTAGTCCCTCACCCATCTCTGTAATCTGGAAGGGTACTGGAAGGGCCTGCTGAGAAGTCAGTGGGCAGAGAGGTTTCACACATCTTCCCAGTACACAGGCGCTGATCCAGAAATAAACACAACACAGTCTGTGCACACTGGACACGCATCAGAATGGCAGGGTTTGGGGGTGGGTTTTAGGAGTGATGAAGTTCAGGTGCAGGCTGGGAGATGGGGAATCTGAATAAAACAAAAAGATCCTTGCATTGAATCTCAAAGCGAACTGGAAGAGACATACCTCTTCTTGTCTGATGAGTGGCCTGAGCAGTCACAGGCGGGAGAGATGTGGAGCATGGCCACCACCTGAGCAATTACTTGGAGTCATTGTCGTGCACCAAAGCGCCACTAGAGGACACCAAAGAACTGTGTGGAGAGACCCACCCAGCAGCTGTGGATGATCCTAGGCTGGGGACACAGAGCTACTTTTGTGTCTTGGTGGGGCTGTAGGTGACGAAGCCCTCAGCTGCATTCTGTACTACTCTAGAAAGCACCCACTGGCCTTACACAAAGTTAGGTTTCCAGGCACCCTGGAGAACCCCATCTCCCTTTCAGGTACAGCCTGGGCTCTCCAGCAATTGAGCTGGAGAGCCCAGGCTGTACCTGCCCACTCCATTCACCCTGCTCCTTCTAGGGGCCAGTGAGCATAGGGGACTGACCCCAACAGATGCCAAGCTGGTACTTAGGCCCACTTCCCTGTACAGCTGTGGACACGCCTCCACTGGCCTAAGAATGTTTCCCTTGCTCTGGATACTGGCCGATAAGAACTTTTATTTGCTTTTGTTCTTCATTTTCCGTCCTTCCTTGCTGCCTACCTGGGCAATTAGCTAAGGACTCATTCATTCAATACATAACTATCAAACATTGCCACTTGC